TCAGCAGTATAAATGGGGCCCAAAACAGTGCTGGATAAATGGAGGTTTTAAAGACATATGCAGCTCTTGGCACATATTTGCAAGATTTTTTATGCGTATAATTTTTATCTACACTGAAATGGTTGCTGATTAAAATTTGAGAAAGGAACAGTGGAACTTCGGGAATCAGTTCTCCATCATCGAACACACCCTTCTAGTAACTCGGCTTCTACAGTCACAGTGCTCAAGAAACACACAGTCTTTTTTGTTTTCATTATTGTCTTCTTGTCTTACATTTGCATCTTTTTTTTGTTGTTCGTCGAGGATTGAAGGAGCTACTGCCCACTGCACCGTTTTTATGAAGAAATTTGAAGATTAAATCGTGACAAAGTATTAAGATAAAGTTTGTTGAAGGCAGAAATCTCATATTCCCCAATAATTACTGGAAAATTTGGAATACTACTGAAATGCTAATGAAAATAATGAAATCGACAGCGTTAAAAGATTGGAGCAAGACGGGGCAAGGATGCACCTTACGGCTGCATGTCTGATTTGATTGCAGTTTAGGCCAACAAAGAAAAGAACAGTCGAATTTTAATATTTTGTGAAATCCAAAAAGCCATTTAGCTACGTCACGTAAGCAAACCAGTATTTAGACTAGGTGATTTCTGTGTTTCATCCCTGAACTGTAAAGCGCGGCAATCCGTTTACAGCTAGTTTGAAAACAGTAGTTAGGAAATTTTGAACATTTGGGAATCGTATTCTCAGTAATTTTTTCCGCGCTTTACTTAGTAAATGCGTTTGCAGGACTGGCTGGAATTCGTTGTATTCCCGGAGGAAGTGATATTACATGAGCCGGTGGAGCGGTGGCCTTTATGTGACTGTTTGATCAGTTTCCATGCCACCGATTTTCCACTACACAAAGCAATCGAGTATGATCGTATACGACACCCATATGTAATCAACGATTTGCGCAGGCAGTACGATCTGGTCAGTTTAATTCTAAGCAACATTCAATGAAAAAGAAAGTCAAATTATAAAATATTATAACAGAAATCACGAAATGTTTACCAAATTCGAATTTAAGTCTCTCATTCACAGCTTACGGTAAAAAAGGGAGCCAGCGACAGCCTTGCCATCGGGTAGCTACTGTTAGCATTTACTACTTCCCGAGTGCGTCCACATCTCATAGCCAATATGGAAGTGATGTTAACTTTAAGTGTAAAAACAAAAATAGCGAATTTCGCGAAATATTTATCAGAATTCGAATGTAATTGAATTTTTCAGCTCGATCGATGTAAAGTGTTCCAAGCATTAGCACGTGCCGGCATCGAGCATCCTCGTCACGGTGTTCTGGTGCGTGATAACGAGGGAAAAGTCGGTATGTTTGTTTCCTTCCGCGAAGTTTTACTTCCTTTTTAAAATATGCGTTTTGTGCTGTGTAACAACAAATTGTCCGCAACTTTCAACTCGGGAACCATAAAAGCTAGGAGTTGAAAATTTAGGGGACGCTCCCCACCCATGTGTGACCCTGCAAATTTAAATTCAGCCTTCCCGTACCTGCGGGTGACATGTACGACCCCTAAAAGTTTAGGCGGGCGAAATTATCACAAGAGCCAGGGAAACTGAAATTTTGTAGGCATGTCTCTCGCCCATGTGCTACCCAGAAAATTTAAATTCAGCTTTCCCCTGCCCATGGATAACATGTACGGTCCCGTAGAAGTTTGGGCGGGTAAAATTATTTTCACGGAAACCACGGAATCTAGAGAGCTAAGATTATAGGGTAATGGCCCTCTGCCCAGGAATGATCTTGCAAATCCAAATTCAGCGTTCCCGCAATCTCGGCTTTCTCCTACGGCCCCGTGAAAATTTTTGCGGATAAATTATTATCTCCGGAACCACGAAATCTAGGATGCTGAAATTTTAGCGCGGCATCCTTTGCCCACGTGCAACTCCACAAATTTTCAACGTCCACGTGGAAGTTTTGGCGAGGAAGTCATTATCTCGGGAACCAGAAGTGCTAGGAGACGAAAATTTTTGAAGAGTTTTTCCCCTCTAAGCAGGGCTTCACAAACTCTAATTGTCGAGGTCTCAAGTACAACCACGTGAAACTTTTGTCTAAAAGATCATTCGAAAGCCAGAAAATTAGGAGGTTGAAATTTTGAAAGGATATTTACCCTTCGAGTTTCAAATTCAACTTCCACATATTGGTTTGTGAAATTTTTAACTGTTTATCAGCTTTTCAATTATTTTTTCACGGACTAAATTACCAAGCAGTGAAAACCATTAACGGGCAATCGTTCGGTGGACAGAATTGCAAAAAACGCACTTCGTACCAGCTGCTCTGGTGCGCGCTGCTATTTATTTTCCTTTAGCGATTCGATTGTATTTAGAAGGCACTCTCAAAGAATTTAGCGATCATATCGAAGTGAACGGTATGATTTTCAATAAGCCATTCGTGGAGAAGCCGTTGTCTGCTGAAGATCACAATGTGTACATATACTACCCAAGTTCTGTTGGAGGTGGATCGCAGCGACTTTTCAGGAAGGTACCGGGAAGCTTAATACCAGTATTTTTTTTTTTCAAAAAACAAATTCTCTTTTTCATTCAATGTGCTTCATTTACACAATAATGACATACATTGTACAGAAGTTTTTACGTAACACAAAAAACAAATACATTTTTGCAATACATTACATTTGTATGCAAAAAGCCGTATTGGGTTTTTGAGCATATATTAAACCTGCTTGCTCATTGACGACTGTCACCCGAAAGGAAGCAAACGTTGACTTTCTCACTCCTAATAATTGGCTAACGCACGGGCTGCCGGTGCGAAGATGCGTTTTTTGCATAGTTTCCCGCAGTTTTTGCCGCTACGGGCATCGGTTTTTTCGGCAAATGCTTCTGGTTGAACAAATTAGGGCTGGCCGCCAGGAATGGCAGGAAACACCCCCTTAAAATTTCAGCGTTCTGGCTTTCCTGGCTCCTGATTTATCACTTGGTTGGACGGGGAGCATTCCTCTAAGATTTCGGCGTTCTAGCTTCTCAGGTCCCCGAGTTATGAACTTACCCCAAAAAAATTTTGGTGGACCCTGTGCGCGGGTACCACGCGAGTGATGGCGCCAATTTTGAGGATTGGGGCCGGCATGTGCATGTGGATTAATTTCCCCAAATTTCAGCCCTGCAGCTTTTATAGGTCTTGAGATGAAAAATCGGGACAGACGCACACACAGACACACAGA